TTCTCAAGATCTGGTTGAACAAGTGGATCCGGTGGTAGCTGATGAAAGTTATTCACACCCTGAAGAGGCCATATTAGAACCTTACATTGACTTTTTAAAAACGAATAAAATTGTGGAACAAGGAATAAAAGAAGAGAGACTGAGTAACCCTGAACAGGCTTTTATATATCAAGATATACAATTTCAAGAGTCAGAGCAATTTAATTGTGAATTTATACTGGGACTAAATGTGGAAACTATTAGGCAAACTAATTTTACACAAAGTTACTTGGACTCATTTCAATTGCTAAAAACAACAAAGATTGATATTCAGATTATATTGGCAGAAAGGGGAGAAAATTTTGCTCAGTTTGAAGTGATTAAGTTTTGTAACCAAATCTTGAGGTTTGATAATCGAAACGCTTTAATATCAACTTGGTTTAGAAAGAAACCCAGAGTTAGATATAAATATGACATTAAATGTTATTGGATGGGTTAAAAATGTCTTAAAGGTTTTTTTTCTGATTTAATGACGAAGGAAGTATAATTATGATAATGTGGTAATAATTGAATTTGTTTGACTTAATTAAATGGGTGGGAATTTAGGTCCTAAAGGTTCTCTTTTTTTTTCTTTTTTCTTTTTTTGATTTAATAATGGTTGAAGGAGGTGGACTTATTCTTAATGGTATATTTGATAAATAATTGAATGATAACTAAGTAACTGAAGTTGTAAACCTTACTAAGGGATTAAAATGATTTCTTACAGGTGCAGTTTGATGAAATGATAGAATTTACTTGTTAATTTTATGGAAGATGGGAATTTTTCCTTTTTCCTTTTTTACTTTGCTGAAATGATAAAGATTTTGGGTATTTGAAGAATTAATTAAATGAATAAAATTTTTATTAAAAGGAAGATTATTACAAATATAATAATGTTGTTATAATTGAAAATGACTGAAGGATAAGTAAGTAATTGAAGTTGTAAACCTTATTAAGGGTTCTAAATGATTTTTTATAGGGTAGTTTTATGAAATGACAGAATTAACTTGTTAACTTTATGGAAGATGGGAATTNGGATATTTGAAGAACTAACTAAATGAATAATTTTTATTAATACGGAGGAGATGGATTGTTTAAGTTTAGACTTTGGAGTTAGAGATATTAATATTTGTTTACTTGTATTTGAATATTAGCCTAGGTTGGTTTGGGAAGTCCGGGGGGTGGGGGGATGGGATATAACATTGTGTAATATCTGTGATGTATTTCTTTTTTTCTTTATGATAAAAATAAAAATTTTATATTGAAAAAAAAAAAAAAAAATTTTTTTTGAATGTCATTAATTTATGGGACCGCTTTGGGGGGGGGAGATTTTTTTAAAAAAGAAATTGGATGGGTTACAATTTGGCCACAAATTTGATTCTGGAACGCAGAATCAAAATTCAAAGAGCAAATACCTCTAATTCAGTAGCCATCCAGTTATGGAAACTAAACATTTTAGGTCTTGCCTCTGCCAATGTGGAGAAAATCTTTCATATCTAGTCTTAAATGACGATTTTCAATTTGACAATGAGATCTGCTCAAATTTCACTTGGACATGAGAAAACCACCAATTTCAAAATCAAAGGACACAAAAAAAATTCAAGACTGCTCCTGAAGCTATGTAATTTTTTTTTAAAAAAAATCTTGACTGTAGATTACAACAAAACATTTCATTCAAACATATGCAAATAATAACCAGATTTACTGAAAATAAAGTATGGTTACTCGTCTAACAGAAAGCAGGTATATTGTGTGTGACACTATCTCCTCTCTAAACTAATATGTCTTCCCTTTTCAGAAATAATGGGACAATCACATATATTTCTCAATGTATCCCAACTTTGCTTAAGCTGGTTCCAGGGAGATCAAAAAAGCATCTTTTTCACTCGTTTCTCTTCACTGAATTGCTTAAGTCAGCTTTTGGGGTAGAAATGTCTACAACTAGATATCTACAACTGGAACTCTAAATGGTATTAATTTGTAAATTACTAGTGGGGAGATTTTTTAAACTTCTGATGGGATGGAATGATCTGGGTTTGAAATTTAATTTGCAACTACAAAACAGCTTTTATAAACTATTTTAAAAATAGGGGCAAGGATTACCTAGGGTTCCAAAAAGTGAGAATGGAGGACCCACCACTTCCATGTCCCCTTTGGTTGTCGTGATTATCAACAAAGACGAAGGCTTTATCAGATGGCATCATATGCCAGCTTTCTCCCCAGCTCCTAAATCAGGAAGAAATAAGCATGTATTTGCAAGACATTTTAAAATAGGCCAGTTTAGGAGGATATGATCCACCCCTTCCAATTTGAGAAGCGTAGTTGCCAAGCTTTGCATCAAAAGTCCACACTGACTGCACCATAATTTATTTTATTATTATTATTATTTTGGAGGCATAAAGATATCTGAACCCTCCTCCTGCACCTGGATCCCGATCTGGTCCTAGTTAATGTAAAAAAATAATTACTTCAAATTTGCCATCTTTTGTCCATTCCATTTCCGAAGGACAGTCCCCAGCTGCATGCCATATTTAAATTCAGTCACTCGGCCATTTCTGAAGTATTCAGAGCTTTGGACGGCTTCACCACCCAAATCAATTACCTGGAAAAAGCCAAGAAAAGGTAGAGAAGGAATAAAGGAAAGGATTCCTAAAGACAGAATATCTGGCAAGGTGATCACTTCCTATTATACTGTGTATTGACTCATTCTCAAAAGTGGTTTAGCAATTTCAAACATTTAGTCACCAAATTAGTTTCTGGCATGTACAGTACTTTTGAGGATCATTTTAGGCCAATCTTGCACCAAATGTACTAGCTGCAATTATACCTCTTCTCATACAAACTTTCAGTCACACTTTGGAAGTCCTTCTGAAATGTCTCACCACTAAGAAAGAAACATAGATAGAGAACGTTATGATGTTTCTGCTGCATCATCTTGAATGTGGAGACCTTTTACCAACAAAACTAGATTGATCTCTGCACTTTTAGGCAAGATAATAATAATAATAATAATGATAAAGTTGGAAGGGAATGGTAGATTCTTAAAAGAAAGAATCGGCATTCTGAAATAACACATAGGTATCTTGTTATATTTACTTAATCACATCTTGCTCTATTAATTTCAACTCATCGTCATCATAATAAGAAAAAAAGGGCTATAAATTCAAAAGTGCTTTGTTCTACGTTTTGGCTCTTGTCCTTTTGAAATTCTACCTTTTTGTAAACAATGTAAATACCTCAAGGTTTAAACTCGACAAACCTTCAAATTTCCGTTGTCTTAGCTAAATTAAGTTTCTCCTCAAATCAATTAATTTTTAATTTTTTTAATTTGGAAAGGCTTGTTAAATCCAGAGCCTAGATTTTACACAAATGCCAACAAGTACATTAGATCTTCTAGCCATTTAAGTTAATGCCTTAGAGTTGATCTGTAAAGAATTGCTTTTCTGAAATAGCCCAAAAGTCTATTGGATCTTAAGGTCACTAGAGCTACGATCTGATATGAAATGAAGCTTAATACTGAGCAGGGACGTATTGTATTACTGTAGATCCTTTTTTTGTGAGCTCCTGAGAATCCTACAATTCTGAGCTGCTGACAATCGATAGTAAGACAGACAGACAAAGCGAGCAGATTTGTTGACCTTTGGCAAATTACTCTATGTCCCCCGGGTCCACAAATTGTAAGATAGCTCATTTGGCGCACATGAACATTGAAGAACAATGGACAAATGCTGGGAACTTTCTTTTTATTATTATTATTTACCTCTTGATAGATGAAAGGTCGTGAACCTTTGGTGAACCATCGGGCATTGAGGTTATTTAGTTTGCTTAAAATAACATTGATGTCCTCGGGCCTTATGTGCTTAGCAGCATCAATTCGGAACCCTGCAACGCCAAGGTCAATCAGGTGGTTCAAGAAGTCTATTATTTTTGAACGCACCTCATCTTTCCATTGGGAAAGGTCAAGGAGTCCATAAAGTCGACAGTAACGAACCTATACGTATGGAAAAAATGATTACTACAAACACACAAAACAAAACAGAACAAAAAACAAAATCAATCTGATTTGGGAAAATGTTGAAAGGGTAAAAGAATTAAAGCCTGAAGCACCTCTCCATAACCGGATATATGACTCAAACCTCAATCACTCCAAGGATGTTCTGGGATGCTGAAAATCCAATGAGACTTGTCCATAATTGTCTATGGAGATTCTCAGTCATCCAGGTCATGGTTATCTCAAAGGTGCTTTTTCAAAAGGCAACTGGACTATGGTTTTGTTTGTTTGTTTGTTTTTGAGGAAGAAGACATTTGGCTTCTTATCCAAGAAGTTTCATCAGTTCTGACTGATGAAGCTTCTTGGATGAGAAGCAAAACGTCTTCTTCCTCAAAGAGAAGACACAATCCAGCTACCTTTTGGGGGGAAAAAAACACCTTTGAGACTTGTCCTTATTGTTTTCAAGCATTTACAACATAGCTCTCTACTAAAATAAAAGCTGCTTGATTTTCCTGAGTCCTACTTTTTGAAAGTACAATTTTACTTGCTTGCTTTTTTGGTTTGATTTTTATCCTGCAGTGAACATAATTAATATTCTTTCTTCCTCCCACAACAGCAACCCTGTGAAGTGGTTTGGGCTGAGAGAGAGAGAGAGACTTGCCCAAGGTCACCCTGCTGGCTTTCATGGAAAAGGTGGGATTTGAACTCATGCTCTCTTGGTTTCCAGCCTGATGCCTTAACCACTAGACCAGGGGTAGGCAACCTTGTCTCTTTTATGACTCATGGACTTCAACTCCCAGAATTCCTGAGCCAGCCATGCTGGCTCAGGAATTCTGGGAATTGAAGTTCACGAGTCATAAAAGAGACAAGGTTGCCTACCCCTGCACTAGACCAAAATGGCCCTCATATATCATATATTCAATAGGTATGCTTCGTTAATGCTATATTCTATTAATTTGTTTATTGAATAAAGAGTGTGTTCATCTTCAGAAATCTTTTTATTCACACAACCATTCCGATCACAACAAGGAGTTCAGATACATCCACAAGACTGGTTACATTAGATGATATCGGACAATCAAAAATCCTCCTTTGATTTTTGTTTTAACAAATCCAATCTCACATTGATATCTCTCATTCAATATCCACATATGTCTAAAAAGATGCAGGAGTTTTGCAAAGTCACTGCTGCGTACCACAAAAATTGTCTTTTATGCATTCTATGAAGCAGCCAACAAATTTGACTAATTGTTTGCCATCGACAAGCTCAATTGCCTTAAGAGTGCTCTTTCTCCCCTCCAACAAATACAGATACCGTATATGTAATAATACTCACAAACCTATGCTCGATTTGGATTTTCATCTTCAAGAGCATTAAGGTTTTGCTTCTAAAATGGAAAACTGCATTTATCTATAGCAAACCACCACTTGTCATAATAAAACCTATACCACCACAGAACACATCAATATGGGAAAGTCTACCTGAATAGGATCACTGTAGTTTTCAATATCCCCACTGGGTGTTTTACATATTGGATCATTAAAATCAAATCTCGAATACGGGACAGAAGGAAAATCGTGGCGTTCTGCATTGAAATAGCTCTTACAGATTCCACGGTTGCCAGATCCAGCTGCTGAGTTGAGCATATGGTTGAATACAGCATCCACGTAAATATGGACCTGTTAAAGATACAAGCAAAATATATATAATGTCACTTCATCTTAGCCGTGTCTTTTTTTCTTCTTTTAACACAAGGTCTTTCCTTATACACAAAGCATTGACAGACTCAACTAAAATGCTTGCATTTGAAAATGACCAAGCCTTAATAAGGAAAAACTTGTTCAAAATATAAAAACAGTTACATTTTACCTAGAACACAATCGTCTTTTCTATTTTCTGTTGTTCCTGTTGCACTCTTCCATCTAAGACATTCTTCAGCCACTAATAATCAGCTATCAGTACACTAATGGTTACATACCCAGGAAAGCAGAAAATGCACATAGTCCGGTATTGCTAACATAAGCTTTCTGCTGAAGCTAGGAACATGAACTTTGCCCAAGGCAAGAGACAAATCCAGGACTTTTCATCTTCATGTTCACAGAAATGGGAGAAAATGCATATTGGGCCTTTGTTAGTTTTATCCATGATGTTTAAATATAATCTAATACCTGCAACTTCTCTCAATAACTCATTCATTCAATCTGCAATATCCATCTTCACGTTTAGTCTAAGTGGTTGACTGCAGAACCTTAATGTTCTTAAACTTATATATTTTTCTCGGTCATCCCTGGTTGTTGTATTTAAAAAAAATGTCCAAAAAAATTCAGAATCTTGAACATTCTTTGGGGGCATCTGGGCTAGTTTTAGTAACACATTAAAGAATTTCTTTTTCTTTTTGATTTGCTTCTGTACGAGGAATTAGCTGGTTCATGCTTTGGTCTACAAATTTTTCTACAGAACTATTTAAAATTAGTACTTGCCAGATTCAGAGGATTTTTTTTTTAATGCAATTCCCACATTTTTCAAACTGTGTCCCACTTCAAATGTTATCATATTGGTACAGGAGATACTTTTCCCAATTTCAATCAACACCACTCCAAAAATGCATATATAAATGAAACAAATAAGGAGGCAAAACATAAATCTAGGTGTCCCATTCTTTCAGTAGGTAAATCAAAAGGAAACATAATTTCTTATGCTAATGTAGTTCCTCTATATTACTAGAGCAGCATATTATAAAATTACAAATATGCATTTGCTACCCCATTATGGGGCCATCCATATTTCTTTTCCCTGCCTTGAACACATCCTAATTAACATTTGCTGAGGTCATATTCTGACACCAAAGCCTCCATCTTATTCTCAGCCTATTGCTCAGGTATTCCAACAGAAAAGTGGTGTTTTCCCAAGATATCACAGCACAAGACCTGTGCATGTGCTCTCGATCTTGTCAGCAAGAGCCTTCAAAGGTCAGTAACTTGCTGGATTTTAACTGGTTGGCTGCAGAGCCCCACACTTACATCTAGGCTCCATGCCTCTATGGCCATTTCTGTTGTGGCTACCATAGAGACTGGAGTACTCTCTTCCATTCCATTTTCTTTGAAGTGGTTTGGTCAGATCAGCAATGTAACAGAAAACAAAATGTAGTCTTCCACTAAATTTCCCATGGTACGTTTTCCACATGCATGGCATACCGAATGTGGGAGAGGTGACCAACAATTTTGTTCCTAATCTCTGGTTTTACTAAATAAAATGTTGCATAGGTTGCACATTTCAGAGGGGGGAATATATATTATTTTAAAAAAAATAATGTTGACATGTTCACCTCAATTGCTCACTGAACAGAGAGGTGATCTCTACAGCTGCCTCTCTTCCTATGGCCTTTTGCCAGCAAAAGCTTAACAAAGGAACTTAACAGGCACGGCATGGCTGCAGTCACTATTCCAATTAAGATACCAATGCCTTACCCACCACATTCTTCTCTATCTGCCAGCTTCCCTCTTCCCCACGGCATTTTTTGGAACATCATTTCCCTTTTATCTCAAGGATTGAAAGAAAACACATCCACGTGGCTGGGGAATGAGCCCTATGCCAATGTACGACTCAAATCTTCATTTCTTTCAAGACAATATGCAGAATGACATGATTGTCTTCACTCAAGAGAATACAGAGTTGCATCTAGAGCAATTTAGAAGTGATTTTTAGTGTTAGCATTACATTGGCCACAAAGATAATATATGTCAAAATGACATTTGCTTGACATAAAAATACTAAGTCAGCAAAGTCTGAGAATGTTCTTATATATCATGGAATGCTAATAAAATGAGGATTGAAAACACACATATAAACAGTGCAACTGATGAAGACGTTTTGGTGACAAGCACCCTTGGAAATTGACTCAGCTGATGGGTCTTTTTTAGACTAAGTCCTCCTACAATTTTCAGACAAATCCAGACTGTAGGAAATTGTTTCTATGATTATACAAAATATTTTATAGCAAAAATGATTCTATTTAATTTTTATCCAAGGAAATTTAAGGAACTCGAATGTTTTATTATATAGAATCAATTCTATCTAATAAGAACTTTGGATCTAGAAAATTGGACAAATATAAGACACCATTAAAAAAACTTCCACTTATGATTGCCTTTGACCTCACATCTCCTGTTCCCCTCAATTAGCCCTAAGGTAGTGAAGGCCACTTACTCCAACATTGTTGCATCTAGTCACCATATCTCTGAACTCGCTTTCATTTCCAGAGCGTGAACATAACTTATAACTAACTGGCTGGTATCTCTCCCACCACGGTCTCCAAGGATTCATAATTACAAGGTTTTCATTTGGAGGAGAAACCTAGATATTCAGAAAGAGAATGAGCAGCTAAAGAACAAATATTATATTATTATTCAATTTTATCAATCTTATCTGCTCCAACCAATTCATAGCTTCAACAAGAATATTAGGACGAATATGAAAGTAACAATAACAATGGTCAATTAAAGGTACACAAAGCATTTCAAGCTTGAACTGCTTCAAGCTTCAAATTGGCTGGTTCAATTTAACTGGAAGTGTTTTAATCCGAAAGAAGACTCTTTGAGCTTCAAGTAGAATCTAATATAAAGCCAACTGTTTCAGGATAAACCACTTCTATAAAAATTGAAAATGAGATTGAAATATCTGTTTTGAACTCAGCATTGATTTAATCTTGAAAACGTTTAAATTTGAAATATTTTGCACTCCTCACTATACAATTTTATAATAATAATATTAAGGATTATCATTATCCAGATATGAATCTGGACCCAGGAAAAGCGGCAGAAAAGAGACAAAAACAAAATATTCTTCTGCCTTCTTCCCAAGAGCAATCCCCAACTTTTTTGAGAAGACTCACGTGACTCCACAAAACAATTTGCATATGTGCAGAGGATGATATATACACACAGGCAATTACACCCTGTTTGTTTCCTGCGTCTCTCACTCATATAATATGCCAATAAGGATCACTGGGGAGTAGAATCCTTTAAGCAACCCAGTGATCAGGATCCCTGTTTCCAAGGAAGAACAAGATTGCGTTGCCTGAGGATGCAGTGCAGATTGGGGAAGGTGTGTGAGTGTAAGGGGTTGCACAAGAGCTGTGGTGTGAGTTTGGGAGAGTGCATGAGGGTGCAGCATGGGTTGGGTTTGGAAAGAGTCAGGGAGGCTGTGATGTGAGTCAGGGAAGGTGGATGGAGGCGCGGTTCAAGTTGGGGACAATATGTGAGGGTGTGGCATAGGTGAGGGAGAGTGTGAGAGGGTGTGCAGTGCAGTTCAGTGAGGACGTTGGGGTGTGTGAATGGTTGGTACATGGGTAAGGGAGACATACCTTAATGACTTGTAACCTTCCCTACCTGCTTCCTCACTGACTTTCTGGGGAGCCAGCAGAGAAGTTTGCAAATGGCAATCGCGTGATTGCCGGGCGCCACAACCAGTCATTAATACGAACTGGTTGCCAAGCACATGGATTCCATTCACATGACCAAGAGATTGTTAGGATGGCCAGAGTTCTTTGGGCAATTCCTAACCACAATTCATTTGGCAGCATTGTAACTTAAAACTGTCAATGAGCAAATGGCCACAGGTCAAAACCTCTAGCTCTGTATGTGTCAGAACCATATTTGCTTGTTCCATTACTGCATTCAGGAATCACTGGAGCTATTATATTAGCTATTATATTAAGCAAGATGCTTGTGGTTTATCTGTTCAGAGTGGCCCACTCTCTCTAATCAGATGCTGTCAGATGTGCTCAGATGGCATCTTACAAAATTTTAAGGCAGCAGGATATATGGGAGCTCAAAGTCTATCAGTGGTTATTTAGCTATGACTAAAGAGAGATGCTCACTCACCTGAACACCTGCAAATCCATGTTGGGCTAAGTACCTTTCACATTCAAGAGCAATGTCAACCCATCGCCATTCAAAAAGATGGACAACAGAGGTCCTGACAGGTTTGGGACTGGGCTTGTACTGGGTCCAGTAAAGTCCAAAAGCTCCCAAGAGAAACAGCAGCACAACATTCCTCATTTTCACTTTGGCACATAGTGTTATGTTCCTCAGTAGTCTTTTGCTTTCCTGTTGGAGAACATAGCACCTTTACCAATTATGCACTTTAAATTCTGGCTTATTGTCAACACCATGTTTAAAGCTGTATATTCATCATCATTGTCGTCGTCATCACACAAAAACTAAGTATTAACAAGGCAGAAGACATTTTTGTTTCTTCACCAGGGTCAACAACCGAAGTTCAGAGAAAAATAACAAGCCTCTGTTGATATACTGGTCTCAACTACAGACAGGGAGAAAAGCATATTTTATTAGGTGCATAGACATAGTCAAAATTAATTTAAAGAGTGTGTTAGGCATCCATTGCTAGAAAGAGTACAGAGAAGAGCAACAAAGATGATTAGGGGACTGGAGGCTAAAACATATAAGGAACGGTTGCTGGAATTGGGTATGTCTAGTTTAACGAAGAGAAGGACGAGGGAGGACATGATAGCAGTGTTCCAATATCTTAGGGACTGCCACAAAGAAAGAGGGAGTCAAGCTATTTTCCAAAGCGCCTGAAGGCAGGACAAGAAGCAACGGATGGAAACTAACCAAAGAGAAAAGCAACCTAGATCTAAGGAGAAACTTCCTGACAGTTAGAACAATTAACCAGTGGAACAATCTGCCTCCAGAAGCGGTGAATGCGCCAACACTGGAAGTTTTTAAGAAGAAACTGGACAGCCATTTGTTCGAAATGGTATAGGGTTTCCTGCCTGAGCAGGGAGTTGGACTAGATGACCTCCAAGGTCCCTTCCAACTTTTTTATTATTATTATTATTATTATTATTATTATTATTATTATTATTATTATTATTATTATTATTTACTGTATTCCTGTTGACCAAGAAAGGGAAGATAGCCATATTTCTAACATTTATTCAAATTCCGATTGACGCTGTGCAATTTTTTAAATCACATACAGTAAATCAATGTGACCTCAGCTTTTAAGGCTTTTAAGCAAGTCTAAGTATTCCATAAATAGATAAATTGTTTTTGCAGGCAAATGCTTCATAGTTAAAATATTTTTTAACCTGGGTTGATCACAAGTGACATTTGTCCCAGTCCCTTTTCTAAATGTGGCCTTGAGAGACCTATAGTAGAAAAACCTCTCTTCCAGAAGAGCCCTTTTGCTTTCTAAAACTTTTGAGCGGATCAAACCTGTTAACTATTTTTTTTTCTTTACATATACTGTACAACATATGACAGGTCAAATTGGGTTGCAAAAAGATGTGGAAGTTTATAAATTTTGGGCCTGTGTTGCATGGGGGAAAGCTATTATTGTTGCAATATATTTGTCAATGTTCAATTAAGGGGGGGGGATAAATACAGGTTTTTCTTTTTTGTCTTTCCAATTCATTTTGTGCGTGTTCTTAGCTGTGTTTTGTTTTTGTTAATTTTTTTTCTTTTGCATTTTTAACCCTTTTGAATAAAATCAAAATTTGGGGAAAATTGGAAAATTATTTATTTATTAAACGTGTATGCCGCCCAACTTCTAACGACTCTGGATGGATCACAAAAGGTTACAAAAAAAGATAGAAGAAGAAAACAGTAGACTGTGTTGTAACACAAAATACAGCAGAGATGGCAAAGTTAAATAACTCAGATGAGAGAAAAAAAAAGGAAAGTGGGTTTCAATCATGCTTCCCAAAGGCCTAGAGATGATCTTTAGGGCTCTTCAAAACAACAGTAGGATGGGGGGGGGGCATTTGAATCTTCGTACAGTAATAAGTCTGACAGGGAGAATTTTCCCCACATCTGCAAGCTGTCAAATTTGGATAACATTTTGGACAGGATAATTGAGAAATACAGATGGAATAATCCAGCACAGACTGATGGGAGCAAGAGACTAACATTGTCAGGTGCAAAAGATCTGGCCCACTCATGAAGGTCCAATTAAACTGATTTATTGCCACATGCCTATGCACAGGGAAATTCTCAACTAACAGTACCTACTTGGAGTTGGATAAGAATGAATGGATTCAAGGGAGGTTGGACTTAGTTCACTTATGACTACATAGGGATTCTAAGCTGATCTCTTTTTTAACTCCACCCGCCAGGTTTTGCCAGTCCTTCTCCTACACTCATTGTTCCTAGTGCCTTGATTTAAAAGAGATAACTGCTGCCTGAGGATGCAGTTGTAGGATAGCTTTAAATAAAAGCAATATATGCATAAATTCCTAAAATTAAATATTTAGCAATATTTGAAATCTAAAGCAGCCACTCAAACTTAAAGCTCCATTCCATTTTCATTTGAAAACATGGAATAATAATAATAATAATAATAATAATAATAATAATAATAATAATAATACAATAATAATTCTGCTCTAAAGTAACTAAATGGGGGACATCAGATCCACTTAAACACATTATTTAATACACTATACATTCCACTGTTTTTTTCTAAATCTGTCTAAGATATTCAATACCTTTGCAAAAAAAACATCTTTAGCAGAGAACATTTAAATACGTAGCTAACAGATAGCCATTAGAACAGGAGGCATCATAGACAAGAAAACAAGTGCGATTCTGAAACAAGTAACAAAATTTAGAATCCTTCCTAATTTATTAAAAGAGCAAAAGATGTCACTGCCTCTGCTCTGTGGAAGAGAATGTAATGAAATGATGAAATGCAACTTCTGATAAGGATACCGTGTTAAGGGTTGGAAAAGTTAAAGAATGTAGAGGAGACAAGGGAGGTGGGTTTTTTTGTTGTTGTTGTTGTTGCTGTTGTTTCCAGGAAACTGGAAGAGCTGACACTGAAAATTACAGCGCAACAGGTGCTGAAGGAAGGTCTTGGAACAAAGTAGATGCAACATCTTTTTATTGCTGCAGATTGCAATTCAAGCTGGCTGCAGGAACCGTCAAGGGGATGGACTAATGGAGTGAGGGAGCTGCCAAGATTGTAATTATGTCCAGAGTGGAAGCGGGATGGAGAGAAAGAGTTTAGAAGAGAAAGATGCTAGAAATTGAAATGAATGAAAGAAAGAAAAAGGATACTCGGGTAACGGAGCCGGGAAAAAAAACAAAGAGGGTCAGATCCATCTGGACAGGCAGATAGCAGCCATCACATTTGTTCACGTTTGACATGATTCAAGAATGGGGGTAACAATTGCTTTCTTTCTTTTATGTCTGCTTTGAAAACAGAAGGATAGGGCAGCTCCACAACCAAGAAATTGCTATCATGTTGCTTTCTGCTGTGAGAAGAGAAGAGAATATTTGTAGCTCAAGGGTTGAACTGTGGAGTCCTTGGTGCTCTCTGAACTTGGCTGTTTGCTTGCAGACATTTCATTACCAACTTGGTAACATCATCATATTGAACATCATATGAACATCATTCGTACTGTCTCTGCTGATGATAGGAAGCCTAGATGAACATTTTCAAGCTGAGAAAGGTAGTAGTAGAGTACTTCCAATTACCTTTTTCCCCCTCTTCCAAAGTTTCTCAATATTCTTGGTGCTGACACTAACTCAACCGATAGACTCGGTAAAGGACTTGGTGGAAATTATAGTTCAGTATGGGAAAGTTTCTGGTTTTAAGGTAAATAATAATAAGACTAAAATATTACAGTTATCTCTGCTGGGGAGAATCTCAGCAGTGAAAATGAATATTCTTCCAAAGTTTCTTTTTTTGTTTCAAATGATACATATTTTGAAAAAAGATGCTAATTTGGAAGAATGGCAGAAGGGGATTAACAAGTTTATATGGGCGGGGAAGAAACCAAGAGTTAAATTTAAGATTATACAAGATGCACAGGAAAGAGGAGGTCTTAAAGCGCTGAACTTAAAACTGTATTATGATGTGGTAGCTTTAACATGGATTAGTGATTGGCTGAATTTAACAAATAGAAATATACTTTCCCTTGAGGGATGGGATCTATTATTTGGTTGGCATGTATATTTAATTTATAATAAGAAAGTAAATCAAGTTTTTAAAGCCCATATTCTAAGAAGTGCTTTGTTACGAGTTTGGAAGAAATATTATTACAGATTAAATTATAAAATTCCCATTTGGGCGATTCCAGGACAGATGATAGAGGGGGTATCTAGAGGGGTTACTTTGGATAGAATTTCTTATAAGAAATTACTTAGTCTGGTAGGAAAGGATTGGCAAATTAAATCCTTAGCAGATTTGCAGGAAGAAAATATTGTATATTCTTGGTTTTATTATAATCAATTGTTAATGAGGTGGAGCTTAGATCAAAAAGTTGGTATTACTTTGCAGGATGTGAATTTGATAAAACAGATTAAAGATCAAACTCGAGCCCATATAAAGAGAATGTATAATGTTTTGATAGAATTGGATTCTGAAACGGAATTAGTTAAAGATTGTATGGTAAAATGGGCTCAAAATATTCAAGAATCAATTTCATTGGAAATATGGGAGACAATTTGGGTTAGAAATGTAAAATTTACTCAAGCTCAAAATTTAAGAGAAAATTTTTATAAGATGTTTTATAGGTTTGGATCCTCAAAAACTGTCCTGTATGTATCCTAATTTACAGCCCAAATGTTGGAGATGTGGAAGTTTAGACACAACTTATTTTCATATTTGGTGGACGTGTAGGGATATAAAAGCATTTTGGATTAATATTTGGTGGAATATTCAAAATATTTTTAAGAAAAAGATAAAGTTTACACCGCAGTTATTTTTGTTAGGCATTATGGAAGATTTGGATGTTAAAGAAATGAATTTGATGTTGAATCTTATAACAGCTGCAAGATTATTGGTAGCCCAATTTTGGAAGAAGGACTCTTTGCCCACTATAGAAGAATGGATGCGTAAAGTGTCAAATTCAGCAGAAATGGCTAAAATTTCCACTTATTTGAAGGATCAATCACAAGAAAGATACATCTCGGTCTGGAGAAGATGGATAGATTATATTCAGAATAAATATGGGACTAAAAAGTTTCATTTGGGTTATGAGTAAACTCTAGAGTATTGTTATTATTAATAGTTTATTTTAATGGAATTTTTG